CCGTAGGATTTGAACTCTAGACCTGCCACTTGGAGAGAGTGACGACTAGACCACTACACTAAGTCGCCACACCTCTCTAATCCAAATTATAAAATAAGTTTTTATCAATTTTAGATAGCAGTTATTATAGTATTATTGATTAAAGTAAAATAACTGCTAACTTTGTTTTAATAATCTTTAACTTCAAGCAATAATTTCTTAACAGAAAAATCAGTAAAGTTTTTTTATATTAATTCTATAAATCTATAAAAAAATATATTTATTGATTTTGAATATACAATACATGATTCTTACTTTAGTAGCCCACTGAGTTTATTAGTATACTATGTTCAGATTTGATTAGCTAGCTTCGATAATTATCATTATATAAATTATTAACTACTAGTATAATGGGTAGCGCATTTGCGCCACTCATCTTATTTTATTGTAATATTTCTTTGATTAGTTTTAGATTTTGTATTTAATTTTTTATAGTATTTGTTAGTTATTGGTTTAGAGTAGTGTTTAATATTTAATTTTATTTGGTTTTTTTTTATTGTTGTTTTTTTAATTTTATATATTGTTAGGTTTTAAATTAAAAGAATGTTATGATGAAGTTATAAATTGTGAGATGTTGTCTGAACTTTAATTTGTATTTTAGTTATTTGAGTTATTTGTATGTTTTTAGAGTGAATTATTATGTTGATTTGAAGATTGAATTTGCAAATAGTCGGTCTCAATTGAATGTAAGTGATTTTATATGAGTGTTTGTAATGTTTAATAAAGTTTTAAGGATTTTTGTTTGTTTGGAATTGAATATAGGTATCGTTGGTTTAATTTTATTTCGATTGTTTTTTGTTGATATTTAGGTAGAAATTCATATGTTTGGCTGTTTAAATCAATTTGTTTTACATTGTTTATAGAGTTTAAAGTGCTTTTTAAAGAAGAAAAAACTTTGAATAAACGTAAAAAAAGTATATGAAAAGTTTTATTAAAGTCTTAGAATTTTACTATTAAAAATATTCAAAGTTCTTTTTTTTTTAGTGGAGTTAATATAATAATAACTTTTAAAATCAGTTATTATTGTGCTATCTTTTTTAAACAAAAAAAAATTTTGTTATTTTTGATAGTAGAGTTTTATGATTCTAATAAAACTTTTTTATACTTTTTTCTTGTTTATTTTTCGTAGTTTTTCTTTTTTTAAAAGGACTTTAAACTGTATTTATAATGTAAAGCAAATTGATTTAAATAGCTAATTATTCTAATATTTTCTTATTAATTTGATAGCAAGTAGTTGTAAAGTTATTAATAGTTTGGGATTTATTAGTTTATAGAATTTACTGTGAATATATTTATGTATTATTTAATTTATTTATTTTTTTATAGATTTTTGATGTGTGATAAATGATTTTTTAGGTTTTTTTATGTTATATTTGTGGAGTATATTAATATACGTGATGTTTATTTTAACATATTTAGTAGGCATGAATAAATTGATATTTTCTTACAGTGTTTCTATAATCAGATATTGTTTATATGATGATCATCTTAACTTGTTGGTTCTAGCTCTAAGTATTTTTTTGGTATTTCATTTTATAATAGTTTTGGATTATTATTTAATTTATTTGTTATATGACGTTTTTTTTATGAAATATGTAGTAATTTGTTATTAATTTTTTTTTTTTAGTTTAATTTGTTAGTTTTTTTTGTTATTATGTTATTATTATCGTTTTATAGTATAATTTTTTTGTTCTTTGTATAACAGGTGGGGTTTTTTTTTTATGTACTTATAGTATCTTTATAGTTTGAAATTTTATATAAAGTGTGTATATTTTTGTAGGTTATTTGATTTTTTAAAGTTGTATAGTTTTTGTTTTTAATTATTAAGCATTATGCCATGTTATGCTGATACAATTGTGAAGATGAAATATGCTTGTCAGACTGTGAAAAAAGAAGATAATTTGATTGTGATTTGGGCTATTGGTCTATATCCTATGGAATATGAAAATAGCGAAATAGAAATGGTTCAGTTCGTACCTATTAATTCTACTAATAGAGATCTTGAATTTCAAGCTATCTTTGAGAGAAACAGTTTTTTTTTTGTTGGTGGAAAGATTGTATTTAGTTTTTATAAAAATAATAAAAGGCCGAAGGTATTAATTTCAAACAGTTGATTGTTTTTTTTTTCTAGTTTAATTTATTCTATTTTTGAAATTTTTTTAATATTTAGATGATAGTGTTAATTTTGACTAATCTTGCAATTTTGAATAAGGTTGTTAAATCTAATAAGTGTTCTCTTGCGGTTTCTTTTATTGGAGTTCCTCAAGAGTTACTAAGTGTCTTTGAAAGTGATGAAACAGCTATTTTTAGTGTGCTTATAAATATAGTCAAGAGTATAATTTTAAAGTTAAAGTAGTATTTCTGTATTTAAATCCATGTTTTGCTTATCTGAAAAATACTGTTTATTTGCAAGAATCTTTAATTTTCATTGTTGGACAAATAGAAGTTATCTTGAATGAATTCTATATTTATACTAAAGATATTAATCTTATTGATTTTAATAATTTTAAAAGGAAGATTTTTGATAACAGTTCTGATTGTTCGTCTAATGATGTTAATATGACTCGGTCAAAACTTTTGTCTATGCATCATAATATTAATAAAAATTTGAAGGATATTTATAAGGATGATGTTTAGTCATCAACTCTGAATAATTCTGTTAATAGTTTAGAATCTGGTTAATCATCTGTTTATAATGTTTTCTTAAGTAGTTCTTCAAAGCGTGTTAGAGTTGAAAGTTGTGACGAAGTTGATCAGTTTGATGATATTGGATGTTGCAGTTTTGATGCTATTAATAGTAATATAAATGAAATTAGGCAAGATAAATCATTTGATAATGTTTCAAGTGAGAAGAGTTTTTAGAAGAGTAAGAAGGGTAAAGAAGTTGTAGGGGGTTCTTTATGTAGTGCTTTAAGGTTATATAAGTCTGGTTCCAATAGTAATGGGGTAAATAGTAGTAGATTTTTTTATATGTCACTATAATATATGAGTTTATATTTTTTAGTTGATGTATGTTATTGACTTAATAAAAAAGCTATTTGCTGATTGATACTTTAATTTCATTGTTATGATTTTTATTTTCATGTTTGTTCAGTATCTTAAATTCTTAAGTTCTTAAATTTGGGCTTCTCTTTTTTAAATAGTTGTGTATTTAGAGGTTATTTCTTTAAAATTTTATTGTTGTAATGAAAATAATTGTATGTATGCAAGAGACAGAAATCGACTATAATTAGGTTAATAATGAATATCAAGACATAATCGGGTAATAAGTAATAATAGTAATAATAGAAAATAATCAGTAATTATTGTACTCATGTGATATGATCACGATCATCGATCGATGATAGTGCATCAGAAATTAATGATGTAATTAATGACGATATTTATTATGCAGGTTATAGTTAGAGAAATTGATTGGTAATTAGTTAGTAATATGCATAATAAATGTAGTCATTGTAAAATAGTTAATTTGCAAGAATCTATTTGCTTGTAAGGCATATAAAGCGAAGCAATTAGTAAATAGAATATACTTACTCTAAATTAAGGAAAAACACAGTAGTTTAAGAATAAACTTTCAAGTAACGAACATGTGATCAACAGGGTTACAATTGTCGTATACTTTATGTATTGGGTTTTTTATTGAAAAGGTAATGTTTTGAGATTTTGAGTTATTAGGTATGTTTGGGTTCGATACTTAGTATTATTGTTTGTTAGGTGGAAAGGAGTTGAATTTTTATTTCAATTTTTTAATGTATATTTTTATATATATGCAATGTGTATTATTAGAATAATTGTTGTAATTTTTTATATATGGAGACCCCCACAGCAAAACAGACCAGTGGGCAAAAAATTTTGTTTTTGTAATTTTATAAAAATTGCATTTCTAATACTTCAATTCTTCGAGAAATTGAGTTTTTTAAAAAAAAATTTTTTTCGCCTACTGGTTTGTTTTGCTGTGGGGTTTCCATATATTGTTATATATGTTTGTAAGGTGTTTATATATGTGCTGTAGTTATCATATTTGAATATTAATTGTTTTTATATGATTTAATTATTAACAATGTGTAAACAGGTATATATTTGATTTGTGAGATATTATATATCATTAGAAAATTGATTTTTTTTTTTTTTTTTTATTGTATAAGAAGTAAAAAAATAGTTTTTAAAATTTTTTTTTGATTTAATATAAGTAAAGGTTGTTAAATCAAGTAAATTGTAATATTGTAATTTGGGCATTAGTAATAACATAAATTTTTTTTCGTATTAATTTTTTTTAGTTGATATTTTTTTTTTTTAATATTTTATATAATGTGTTAAATAAGTTTGATTTAATATTTGAGTTATTTATTTCAGGTTTTTATCAATCTATGATAGTAAAGTTTGCTAAATTATTTGTTAATATTTTTCAGTTTGTAACATTTATTTTTATTGTTATTTTTTTTTTGTAAGTATTTTTATATTAGATATTAAGTTAGTTTATTTAAATTTTTATTTTTTTTATATTCAGATTTGCGTTTAGTTCTTTTATATTTTGAAATTTAATATTTTTTATATTGTTTGTTTAGTAATATATAGCGTATTATTTGTTATGCTGCTATGCAAGTATATTGATAATGTTTTATATATCTGGTGAAGTATATATTTATTTTTAATAGTTTAATTGTTTAAAGTTTATTTGTTTGTAATTTTTAATTTTGAGTATTTAAATAAATTTTTTGGATATAATTTTAAGTCTGTAATATTTCTTTGTAAACTACATTGCATATATAAACTCCTCGTTTTCCAGGGATATTTCCATTTTTCACTAATACTTTGATATCATATAGAGATTTGACTCGTGAGAATGCTATATAAAGTTGACCATATGTAAATATATATTCAGGTAGGTAAAGTCCTACGCATGGTATAGTCTGTCCTTGAGATTTGTTGATTGTTAATAAAAATATAAGTTTTATTAGAAATTGTCTTCTCTTTAGTATAAAGCGAAGTCTAATGTTGTCTGATAGGATTAATGGTATTTATAGTAGGAATACAATTTTTCCTCTGTTATTTTTAGTAGTTATTATAGCTTCTATTAAGTTCAGATAAAAATTTCAATAGATCATTCTTGTGCTATTGCAAAGACTATTTATTGAATCTAAGTTTCGAATGCACATAATAGGTGAGCCAATTTTTAGGTGAAGTTTGTGTGGCAGGAGACCGTTGGGTGTTATAGAGTTTTGATATTCTTGCTGGTAAAGGTTATGTATATCGTCAGAAACAGAATCGTAACTGTGGTAAGTTATGGTGTTTCCAGGTACTTGATATAAGATCGTATTATTTATATAATCAGCATATTCATTTTTGGTAGTTAGAATGGCATGATCGGTAAAGTAGATATTATAATTTGATGTGTTTAAGTATACAAATTTTATAAGCGATTGTAATGAATTTTCATTTTCCCAGAAAATGACTATTTTGTCTTAAATTTGAATTATATCTTTATTTTTAGTAGGTTCAGTTCTATTTCCAATATTTAATAAGAAGTTTTTGAAATATTTACTTTTATGGGTATCGTAAACTCTCATGCTTTTATAAAGTTTAAAGACTTTTATTTTGGGCCACATAGGGAAATATTTTAAAGAAATATTTATCACTTGTGCACGACTACTACGTTGAATAACTGGTAATACTTGTTGAAAGTTTCTTCCAAATACAATAATTTTTCCACCGAATAGAAGGTTATATCCCATTAAGTCTTTAAATATTTTATTTAAAGCTTCTACTACATTATGATGTATCATGGAAATTTTATCCTATATGATAAGTCTAGTTAACCGTAATAGTAAAGCCAATTGGCTTTGTTTACTTATGTTGCATGTTGAATCAGGATAGAGAAATAGAGGTATATTGAAACATGAATAGGCAGTTCGCTCTCCAGGTATGATTAGGACAGATCCAGGATGTAGGTGAGATTTTCCGGGTTCGGCCTCTGATCACTCCTCCGATCCAAATTCCCCTAGTTACACAGTTATACAGATCAAACTATATACAATACAACCCCTTTTTTCATTAGTAATTTTTCGTCGTTCATGCTGGTGCCTCTTTTTGTGTATCATATCACCATATTGTGTTATATTTGCTAAGTGTTATGCTGTATACTATGTCATTTCGTATTTATTGGTCATTTACATTGTGTTTTTAGGATTAGA